CAGAACCGTCTTTACTGACAAGATGCGCATTAAATATCGCATGCGATTTATCGTGCAGCCCTAATTTCTGTTTTGTAAGCCAATCAATCTGGTGTTACTCGCACTCAAAATAATGTCTTTAAGCCTGATTGATTTGCCTGTTTGGTCATTTTTCTTTTGTTTGAAGGGGAAGTCTAGTTTATAAAGTCTGGTTGAACAAACATTGAACCCTCCCAAAAATAGATGTATAGCCTAAACTTTCGCATGTCAGAGTGGTGGTTATAGAGTGGTGCCCGAACAGGGACTTAAAGGGTTTGTTCATTTTAGTTTTCTCTTTCCACATTATAGTATAGAATGGCGAGTCAGGATGCTTTGGATGAGGATGGATCCATGCCCAAGGTGGATTTCTCTTCTGATGCTTTCACCAGCCACAGAGAAACTCTTAGAGAATTAATTACGACGTTCAGTGATTTGTATATAGATTCCGACGAAGATCATGAAGCTCGTGAACAGGAGAACATCAGAGGCTATTGCAAGTTTGATTGAACGTGTGAATACACTAGAAGGTCAAGTTAAAGACTGTGATGAAAAGCTGGGTGAATATATCACACGCAATGAATTTCAGACTAGATGCCAGACTGTGGAAGATCGCCTGCTGTATCGCATAAAACGCGAATGTGAACGAGTTGAGAGGAAAATAGAAGTGTCTGTGCAAGACTTGGGCCAATCAATGATAGACTGTCTTAGAAGACGAGATGTGCAGATTGAAAGCAAGTTGAAAGATCGGGTTCCGCCCACGTCTACTCCCATATTATCTAGATCTAGTGCTGTCATTATGCTTTATGTATCCCCAAATTGTAAGTCGCTTTGGATAAAAGCGTCTGCAAAATGACTAAATGTAAATGTCATTTCGAAATCTCAGGATCAAACTTATGATGTACCCCAACACCAAATAACTTGGTTAGGAAACTCAAATTCAGCATATAATCCTCCAGTCAAGTTAGATTTTCCATGTTTTGGGGATGAACAAGATGAAGATCCCATTGGCTTCATAGAACGTTGCGAGGAATATTTTGCTGTGCGCCCACTTAATGACGGGGAGATAATGGCTGCCCTTACATCGGTGCTGAAGGGGACTGCCAAGGATTGGTGGCAAGCAGAGAAAAGAAATGTGCATGGGTGGAGACAATTCAAAGAGCTATTTCTTCGTTCATTCCTTAGTGAGGATTATGATGATGTGGCAGCACGTAAACTGTTGGAGAGAAAGCAAGGGGTAAGGGAAAATATAAGAGACTTTGC